TACAAAAGCATCATCCTCGGATTCTCTGTGAAAAAATTGAAAGGGACAGACATTTGAGACATTGCACATTTAGAATGAATGAATCAGATTTTCTGTTTAAATTCATTGACCAAATTATCTTTGCCAGTTACATTATATATCATGTAGCAAAAAATATGAACTAATAATTGGACTTTGTATTACCAATTTGAAACTAAAATCTTAAAAGCCTTTTATCATTAAACAGATCAAACCACACTGGTTGTTGCAACCAATAAGTATACCATGCAGTGATCCTTTTTTCTGAAGAAAACAAAAATCATGTTCGGCGTGTTTTAGACATGTCTAAAATATACCACCATTATTTCCCCAAATACACTGCAAAAATCAAAATTTGTAATTAAAAAAACAATGATCAAATAAACACATATATAGGCCTACCATTCTTGAGTAATCACAATTTTTGTTTACTTTTAACCTACATGTCATATATTTCTTCACTTTCAAGTAAAATAATTGAAAACCAAATATTTATTGGAGACACTGAAAAAAACAACTTATTTAAATATACTGTATAGTCAAAATGCCAGCATTCTAAAGGGATCTTTCATGGTGGTCTGTTCTAACCTCATTTATCCAAAAAGATAAGAAAAATTTAAATTTCATCATTGCCACTTTACTATCAAACTTTGTGCCGTCCTTTATACTGCATGTGAACTTTTGTCAAACTGCTCTTAGAAATCCATCAAAACGTCATCAGACACAATACAATTATTCCATTCTGAATTTCCCGGTATCCGGTCACCATGATCCGCCCTATTGGAATGCTAAAGCACGATTCTGATTAAAATGGTGGATATCAACACCACTTCCTGTAATAATACTTTTCCATTGGTCAACTATAATATGGGAGCTAGTTGGTAAATTTCATCCTGAGATTTAAAGGCATATTCTGTAGACTTTCTTGCTCCCAACTTCCCCTCCCCCGCCCCGCCCCGCCCCTCTCTCTCTCCTCTCTCTCTATTCCCATCTCTCTCTATCCCCCTCTCTCTCTCTTGCCTCTCCTCCTCCTCTCTCCTCCTCCTCCTCCCTCCTCTCCCTCTCTCCTCTCTCCTCCTCCTCCTCCCCCTCTCTCCTCTCTCCTCTCTCCCTCTCCCCTCCTCTCTCCTCTCTCCTCTCTCCTCTCTTCCCTCCTCCTCCTCTCCTCCTCCTCCTCCTCCTCCCTCCTCCTCCTCCTCCTCCTCCTCCTCCCTCCTCCTCCTCTCCTCCTCCTCCTCCTCCTCCTCCTCCTCCTCCTCCTCCCTCCTCCTCCTCCTCCTCCTCCTCCTCCTCCTCCTCCTCCTCCTCCTCCTCCTCTCCTCCTCCTCCTCCTCCAGTTTGGGAGTAGTGAATGAGCAATAGGCAATAGGCATCATAGAAATCAAATCAAACTGATTAGTATATAATACTATTATTAACTAATTTCTTTGATGAATGTTTTTAAACATGAACAAAAATTTCAAGATTTCAGAGATAAAAACAACTGCTCCCTCTTTCTCTTTATTATCACTCTTCCCTTAATCGGTGATTGCTCTCTTTTCCATCTACACCAGGGAACTCAAAACTAAGGCCTCATTCATACATTAATCAGTAAACCACCTCAAAAATTGCCCAAGCCAAAAAGTAAATGATTTATAATCATTTTAAACTGAAGTGATAATGATATAAATTGACCTTCTACAACAACAAGCCTTTATAACTTTTTGCAAGGTCTCCTTTTTCTCATTTTCACTTAATTGTCTTGGTTATAGATCATTATTTCTATATTATGCACTATATCCTTGTTATGGAAAGGAAAATGTACAAATGAACCAAAGAACGAAGAAATGAAATGAATGACATATTAAAGCGTAGGACACTTCACATTTCTGTAACTTATAACACATAGAAAGTATGCTTATAGGCCTTTGATCCACACAGCTACTTTTTCTTACCTCCGCTTCCTATTAGTTTACACATACATGTACAGAGGTTTTCTTTTGCCGCGGCAGTTTTCTGAGGCCGCTTTAAAGATAAAGTTGAGTTCTGGTCATGCGATTGCATTGTGAAAGAAATGTTGTGGAATCAATCAGAAAGGTTGATCATCTAGCATATAAGTATTGGTGTGTACTGCAAGGTTCTGGAATCATCAAAATGATAAGAAATTTGGCCCAGTCTTGGTAAATTTACAAGCACTGTACACAGAAAGATGTATATGGGACTTCACGAACATGTGGCATAAAAAGCTGTCCGAATTTTAAGATGTTACATGCCATATTTCGAATACTAAGGTATTTGAAGAGCCATGCTTTTCAGGGAACATTTTTTGTATCTGATGTTCTTCCACACTGGCATAATGCAATGATAACGCTCACAAATTATTTTTCACCTCTTCCCAGAACTCAATCTTCTCTTTAAATCCCAACCACATGTGAACAAGGCCCAAGAGCTTTAAGTGAACAAGCTCTCTGCTATGTCATACGATGTCCCTCCCATCCAGTGGGACACATGCTGAGTGCATCAGACATGAACTAATCTGGTTGTTGGCAGGTCCGTTGAGGGCGGTGGTATTATTAAGTTCCTGAAACGATGCTAAAATGGGGGCCTGGCATTCAATGAACCACTATCGTGTTTCCTCATCTCAGGGCACTGAAGGAGGACTAGACGACCTTTAGTTTTGTTCTTCAGTAATTTTTCAACCTTTTTATTACTATTCTTATGTCATTTCTCATCAGCTTTATGTGAGTGTAATCCCACTTCTTTGTCTTGTCCAAAGAATAAAACATATTGATGCTTTAATAGCTCCTTTTTATCATTTTGCAATTGAACACCTTTTTTCCTTTGATTTTATCAAGTTTATAAAGAAAAAGATTTTTCATGATCACATTTTCAAGTTAACATTTGCAATGCATTCTTCACAAATTTTCAAGCTAAAAGATGTAAATAAGGATTCCCTCATCAAAAAAAAAATATGACTGCTTGACTGCTAAAAAAAGGTGGGCTTGTAAAACCATTGTAAATTCAGTTTAAACTTAAATTTTTGTTCAGTTTGTCAAGATGAGCATAACCAGGCATAACCGCACTCCCTGGGGAGCAATCCAGCCAAGCGTCATTTTTAGTACAAGCGCACACTTGCTCATCTAAACCATTAACTTTCACATCCTACCAGGTACCCATTTAACACCTGGGTGGACAGTGGCAAATGTAGATTAACGTCAAGCCAAAGGACATTAGTGCCGTGGCGGGACTCGAACCCCGTACCTTGTGATCTGCAGTCGGGTGACTTATCCACTACACCACAACACCTCGACTTGGCAACTTTACATTCTCCTATCTCTCATGTACACAGAACTTTACGAATGATACCAATCATAAATAACTTGCGATTAACATCAACTTTGTATAAGACAGGTCCCTGGTCTTCAGTTTTCAAGTATTCTTAGGTTTATATGGAATATATGAGCATTCAAGAGCACACCTTTTCCAGATGGAATTGCTACTATGATATCCTTCAAGCAATGAACTAAAAGAAGAATGTGAAAAGTCACAGATTATTTTCACTTTGTACCAGGACTCCACCTTCTCCTTAATAATGTTCTACACTCAAAATGTCACTTAGAGGTGATTTTTAGCTACAGATCACGAACGAGTCGAGACAGAAATCTAGACCTGACCCAAATAATAGGTGTCTCAGCTTCATTCATTCATTACAAGAAAGCATGACTGAAAACAGACCTTTCTTTCTCTGAGGCCAGTATTGATCTACTGATTCTTTACAGACTCCCTAACGTAACATACGTCTTTCCTTTCAGGGCGGCCAAAGACTTGGTTTCTCCTATTACGTTGCTATCACAGCTGTGTATTGTTTGTACCCTGAAGGAGTTTGGATCTTAATTTATCATACAAGTTCTCTTTTCTGGATATATTGCGTAAAAAGTGGCAGTTCTTGCATGGTTTGTTTGTTTTGCTTTAGGCACCAAAACAGTATCACAGGTTTTAACAGTCAGTCTGATACCCCTTTCAAACTGGCTTCTATCGGAGTCACACCGATGAAAATACCAATTGAATTTTCCTTATGTAAACAAAGGTGAAACCGCCACTTTCTCTGCTGTCCTTTTCATGCTGCGGGTGAAATTCACTCGCTGTGGTGGGCCCTTGCTGGAAGTGAAGAATTATTGCGCAATTATTAAGCCTGTGCCCCATCTAGCTAGCATGCGGCATGTTCAACCATAAGTCAACAAACACAGCTGGTTACGATAAAGCGCGCATTCACAGTGGCTGTTTCATCGGTGTCACACCGATAGAAAGAGAATTTCTCCTGCTCTTGAGCAGGAGAATTTAATCGCCTATTTCTCTTCTTTTAATCGGCTATTCTATCGGCTTTTTCTCCTCTGTTGCTTTCATACTGGCCGTTTCATCGGATGCGTCCGGATGCATCCGATGAAAATCAGGCCAGTTTGAAAGGGGTATGAGCTGCATCTGTGGTCACATATACACTTTACCCATAGCACGTGACACCTGCACAGGATGTCTCCATTTTTTCTTTATCACACCTGCCAAACAGTTCATTTATTTCACAAAATTAACACAAATGTACCAGTATGTATTGCTGAAAAATCCACTACATACATGTAGGATTCTCCAGAAGGGAAAGTTTGATGTAACAGAATGTTTACCTAAAGAGATTTCATGGGAAACAATTAAAATTTAAGGTATTTTATCATTTGTATGTATTGTTGAGGGGGGGGGGGGGGATAAAAACATCAATCTACATTAATTGGCCAAAAAAAAATCAAAACATAAACTTTTGAAATATTAATTTTGCTAGTCATCTTAACATACAAATGCTTACAAAATGTAGTCATTACAAATTGAAATACAAAAAAGGGCAAAAATTATATATTTGTGTACATACTTTTTTTTCCCAACTATATTACAACAGAGATGTACAGTGTATGTGCAATTCCACCACTTTTATTTTTGAATGATCCACATTACATATTCACTTTAAATTACACTATAGATTTCTTTTGGCATTTGTGAGATACTTTATATTCTATTCAATTTACTTTAATGTTTTTTTCAAACACATATAGAACACATATTATATCGACACCCTTTCTCTATTTCTCTTTTTTTCTCTCTCTCTTTCTCTTTTTTTTCTCTCTCTCTCTCTCTCTCTCTCTCTCTCTCTCTCTATATATACAAATATTTCTCCCCCTCCTCCCCCTTTCTCTGTTTCTTTCTCTCTCTCTCTCTCTCTCTCTCTCTTTCTTTCTTTCTTTTTCTTTTTTCTTTCTTTTTTCTTTTTCTTTTTCTTTTTCTTTTTCTCTTTCTCTTTCTCTTTCTCTTTCTCTTTCTCTTTCTCTTCTCTTTCTCTTTCTCTCTATTTAATGCCAATCTATTCATAGAGTATCCAAAATATCAACAACAACATCCATGTAATCCATTAGCATGCTCTAAAAGAAAACTTCCTATCCTACAAGCATGTTCATATGATTTCGAAAATTAGCACTCATCACACATTGTTATGTATTGCCGCATCTGCGCATGCGCACATTCAGACAGTAACTTGATTAAACTACTTGAACACACACTCTGATTCTCTGTCTCGTTTCATCTCCGTCTTGGTCTACTATTAGTAAGATGTTATACATGTACTGAAGAGTAGGCAGTCTCAATAACTAGTTCATATACTACACACATATAGTTTGCACATTATCTTCATGATCAATAAAATTCCTAATCCAATCGTACCTTTTCACACCTCCAATTTACGATTCTTTCTTCTTTTTACAGTCTTCTTTTAACAATGATTGAAATGTTGCTTTTATTTATTTGAACTTAACTGTAATCCATCACATCTAACATAATTCATACCGATAAAATATGGAAATATAATGAAGAATATACAATAATAAACTGATAAAATATGGAAATATAACGAAAAATATACTAGAGTAGTACTTACAGGTTAATAAGCAGAGCATCACTGAGATTGCCAAGAGACCATGTAGCTCTCATTCTCACATTAACAGATGAGTCTTGAAGAGAACTCAAGATGGCATTAGCAGTGTCAGCTACAAACAATACATCCTGAAAGAAAACAGACAAAAATGAATTTTAAAATATTGCAAATTGCAAATTGCATTAAAATGACTTGGTCACATTGCCTCAGAGTTTGAAACAAAATCCTGGATTTATTTCAAGCTGCAATCAGAATTATAAACCGTTAGGTCAGTCGGAATCCCATGACTTTTACATGCCGATCCCCTGTCTGATTATCAAGATATTCATGAATGGAAACCGAAATTTCATTTTTCGTTTTCCTTACACTTTTTATAACACTACAGTCTATTGGGAAAAATGAGTATGGTAAAAACCGGTCACTCAAAGATTTTTGCTTTTTTGAGGCAATTCATGATCATTTTGAAGCGCAATTGAAGGCCATGCATCTCAGATTTAAAAATTTTAAACGATGCCTTTAAGTAAATTTTGAGTTCATTTCATCATCAAGTGACATATATATCAAGAATAAAAATGGGTCTTTGGGTGAAGATTGGGGGGATTTGATGCCCCTGTTCATTAATGCCATGATACCAGCCATTATTATGGGTGCTATGACAATATTAAAGCCACTTTGGACATACATGTACATGTAGCACTTGTACTTAAATGACCCCCAAATATCCACAGATCTTTAACACATGGAGACTTCCCACTATGCGCATTTTAGAATAATCAATGTCAAAGTGATGGAGGTACTACATGAATACCGTTTGTTTGCACTCTGGAAAAGAAAACTTCCACCTGTGTATCATACAATGTATGGCCGGTGCACAAATGAATAATAGGGACTTTTAGATTTGCACGACGCCATTGTGAATTGCTATGGTCGACGTCCTTTTAATGCACTGCCTTGAATGGACGTCACACGTATCAGTCCACACGAATCTAAAAGTCCCTAATGATTATATAACTGTCACAAACACATATCCAGCAGTTGTCTTAATGGGTTTAATAGTTTTGTACTAATGACCTTTTCAGATAGTATCACCGAAGTGGCCGATTGATAAGCACATGATTTTTGTGATGAAGACTTGTGCATGGGTGGCTTAAAATTTAGTCTCCTTGTAAGATGAGAAAGTCAAATGTTGAATGGTCACTCATAGTTTTACACCCAAGTAAACATGATCGAACATGAACTGTCCATTTTGGTTGGACGAACATTGCATGGCTGGAGAAGTACAAAGTGAGTGGTAAAGATAGTCTTTGTGAGATGATGCATAACAAGCTACTTTGGAGAAACTATCGATAAGACTGTAAAACACATCAAGAAAACTGCTACCAACCTGTACATACTGTTCATGACAGTTATGTACCGTAAATCTCTGTGTATAAGGCGTACTTTTTTCCGTCGGCAAAAATCAAAAGTCGCCTTATACACAGGTACAGGATATTTTGAGTCCTCAAAATGCTACCTTTTAGTGGTTTTTTGAAAATCTCTGTGTCTCAACATGAAATATATAATGCAAATACAGAATAGGATCTACTATTTGAAGTTAAACTACGTTCCTAATTTGAAGGGAAGAGATTTTTTTTCTTTTCAGTCTCGATCAATTATGCCCCTTCACAAAGCACTTTGCCAGCCGAAGCTCTCCCGTGTCTTCAGCTCACTCACCTGTATCATGCAGCTCACTTACAAGGGGGATAACGAATCACCGTTCGAAAACTAGCCTGTCCAAATTTCTGTTTGGACTCAGAGGGAAATTTTTCTGTCATCTTTAGTTTTAAAAACAACATTGTTACTAGGTCTAACTTAGTTCACATGCACTTCAACTGTTCCTCGTAATAAATAGAAAGTATTTTCGAACACTGAAATAAGAGCTGATATGATCTGGTTAACAAAAAGCCCAAGAAGCCCAAAAAGCCACAACAAAAGCCAATTTTTTGTTGTTGGCTTTTTTGTGTGGCTTTTGTTATCCAAATCAGATCGCGTCTTATTTCAGTGTTCGAAAATACTTTCATTTTATTACGAGGCACAGTTAAAGTGATTGTGAGCTAAGTTAGACCTAGTAATAATGTTGTTTTAAAACTAAAGATTACAGATTTTTTTATTTTTTTATTTTTTGTCTTCAAAATAGATGTGCGCCTTATACACAGAGATTTACGGTAGACATTATTCATTTATGCACTGACGTGGCTTATTGGCCATGTTGTACATGTATGTATAACCTACCTGTCTAAGGCATGGGTAGAGTACAAAGACCCCTAGAGCCCTGACGGACGCTGCTTTCACTCGATAATCCTCCTCACAGTTGAGACCTAGTAACAGGGTGATGCACAGAGCAGAGCTCTCTCCTTCCCTGTAAATCAAATATAGAAATACATTTGTGCTTAGAGACTTAATTGTAATTGTAATTTGCGCTATATAAAAACTAAGTATTATTATATACCTCACTTAAGAAATCCAGCCATCTGATTGGTCGAAATTACATTCATAAACTTTAACTATTTCTGTAAAATTCCCAGTAACCATGGTTAAAACAGTTCTAAAATCCCAGTAACCATGGTTACCGGGAAAATAGTTCAGTCTCCATGGTTACCCCATAGGTTTACATGTTAAAAAATGGTCTGAGCGATCGAGGATATCGTACGTGTGCGAAGAATTGGTCGGTAATTTCAATACAATTGAATCTCGATCGATTTTACCAACAATTTTATCTTGCATTGTTGACATGAAGACGAAAATCAACTTCCAAAAACAAAAAAACAACATCTGCCGATAGGTCCTTAATATATTGTTGATAGACATCAGTGTCAATCCTATCTAAACTAACACAAATAAATAGTATGTATCAAAAAGAAATCTCACTAATTTCAATGAAAGCAGAAAAAGAGAGAAATTGGTCTTTACAAGTTCTAGAAAAATCAGAAAAGTTGTGATTTACAGCTATTCTCTGTTCGCTTTGTACTAAACATTTTGTTAAACATCACCAAGCAATATTCAATGTCATAGCTGTGGCCGAAATCTGAAATTGTAATCATGTTCCATATAGGTCCTCCTGTGTGTGAAACAAATACACTATCAAAAGAAAATATCAATTTTGGGCACATTTCCCATACAAAACAAATGGACAGGTGATCACATTTAGGATTTCTGATCTATAGGGGGCTTGAAAGCTTTACAATTGCATTAATTTCTTATTTAGTACAAATATTTTGAATAGTTTGAATATTACGGTACTACCAGAATCAGGTGGTGGTTTCCCATGCCCGAATAGGTTATTGGTGAGGGGGGGGGGGGGGGGGGGGGGGCTACAGCTCCCTCAGCCCCCTGTCCTGTAGGCTTATGAAATAAATTGCAACATTGTCCGTAAACAACCCGAAACTGTGATAAATCAAACAACATCTTTAATAGCTCTCTTGACCAGATGATGGTTGGTGCCATAAAAGAAAAGGTCTATTAGATTGAATGTCTTCTTTACTTTTCTCCTTTCCGGATGTGTTTAGCATGTATAGCGCCATCTCCAACATTCCAATACCGTAATTAACGGTGAATAAACCGCCCTCGTGTATTAAACGCACCCGTCTTTTTCGCCCTTAAAAAACAAAAAAATTGCCGAATCTGTCAGCAGCAAGCCAGGTCCGTGTTAAAAAAACCCACGCGGGAAGGCCTTTCATTTAACTGCGAGGTGCAGCTGAGTGTGTTAGATCATTAATGTAAATTAAAAAACAGCAGAGGACCTAAGATAGAACCTTGTGGTATGCTGTATAATAGAAGAAAAATTGGAGGAATTATTATTATAAACTACATATTGAGATCTATCAGAAAGATTACTTTCAAACCAAGATAACAGACAAATTTGAGTGTTGTTCTAGTTTCCGAGTGGTGAGTCAACACACCCATTACTGAGCTGGGAGACATTGCCAGTTGGAGGGTCATAAATTGAAACTTAGAAGAAAAAAAAACTTTTTTTTTTGGCATATAAAAGTATTAATGACTGCTTTAATATTCGAGAAACACGCCTCGGGCAATAGCACAATTCTAACCTTCCCTTGAGCGTATAAAAACAACTATTTCTCTCAAAGCAGTCATTAATACTATATTAACACCTAGACCGATACATAGTGATGGAAAAAGAGGTGAGTGAATTGAAATGTCTCTGTCATTTCCGAAAGAAATTTGGTAACATTTTTCAATATTTTTGTTTTACATTGACGTATATATATATATATATATATATATATATATATATATATATACAGTATATACTATATTAGGCAGGCTCCCAGACACCTTGGAGGCTTTGTTTGTATCTGGTTTATAAAAGCATAATTTTCCTTAAATGAAATAATTAGAATTGCAAATCCTAGATTCTAGCTAGATCTAGTTAACTTGATTTAATTGTTAGAACTTTAATCCTAACAAAATCCTAGGGAATTTAAGAGACTAGTGGGGCGTTGCAAGAAAGTTGGGTTGCACTCGATTGCAAATATCAATTGCAAGAAAATTGCAATTGATTGCAACGCCTCATAAGAGTTGAGGTTCTGAATCCCAGCCCAGCCTAGCCTTTGGACAAGGCCTCGCGCGCTGCTTGTCTGCCGAGCAGGGTCTGAAAATAGACTAACGCAGTGTGGCTTTACAGCAGTGATCGCTGGACCGAGCCGCTTCAGCGGCTTGGCCTTTGCTAAATTGCGGAGCTCATATTATGTGCATATGCATGAGGGTCTTACATATACAGCAGCTAGTGATGATCGTGGCCAATCCTAATTGTTTTAACCGCGCGGTGTTTAAAATGGCTTCGTCCATGAAATTGTGGGGGAATCGGTATTCAAATGTACTAAAAAAATAAAATAATATCTAGTTCAATTTCGAATAAAATATGAATTTATCAAAAACAATATTCTACTTATTGACTAGGGTATTTATTATTTTGCTACTTTAGTAGATTTATAGTAAAATTTTGTTCCCTTGTTTTTCATTTTAACCTACGCATAGACTCTAGTGGTTCGCATGATCAGCTGGTCGGAATTGTTATTGCACAACACTCGAATATCTGTGTACGTGTGAAAACGATGCGTTCATGGAGCTTTGAATTTGCAGGGCTAGCTGAGCTAGCTGCATGCAAGTGAATTAAAATAATGAAAAGGACATCAAATTCTGGTAATTCTGCTTAGGTCTATAATGTAATAGATGTGCAAAAAAGGGTAGATATCTTCTTGCAGTACATTCTGCATGGTTCCTGTGCAAGAGTTTTCCTAGCTATTTCTTATACTGAAGATATCATTTTATTGTGTGTGACAAGTTTGGTTCACATTCTTTCATTAGAAATAAGAGGTGAAACGATAACTTCAATGGACAGTGCAGTGCGGTGTGAGTAGTACCTCCCGGCCCCCGAACTCTGGGCAGCTTCGGGAGTAGACGCCGATGGGATGGTGTGCTGGCAGCGACTGTGGTCGTCCGCACAAAGAAGTCCTTGCACAGTGAAATGGCTTGAAAAATCGCAGATTTGCCATAACCCGTTGGAAGATTAACAAATACATCTTCCCCTTTCACTGCTGATTTTATAGCTTTTGATTATAACTCCTTAAAAGATGATAATTTCAACCTTTCGACCGCATATTCAAGGCTCTTTGATAAGAGATCTCCTTCGTCGCTCGCCATGTTCTGTAACCGCTCAAAAATGTATTTATGATTATACATCTTGATAATGAATATGCATGAAGTTTTCTCAAATCGTCTACTCTGATTGGTGCGTCGGATTGGAAGGGGCGGTTCGGCCGGCTTTCTGGGTAAGATGCTTTGCATCTAATTATCTACCGCCGTGGTAGCCGAAATATAATACAAAACAAAAGAAATAAACTACAACAACCACTCAGGTTAGTAAAGGCCGAGATGCTGACGCACCTCGTCCCACAGATCACAGTCGTCGCGCGATTAGTCTATGTATTCAGGCGCGTTTAGGGAAATACAGCACGAGTGCCTTGACTAAAGGCTAAGCCCAGCCCTAATGCCATTTAGAAGATTTGTACTGCGTGTGTGTGGGGGGGGGGGGGGCAGCGTGGAAGCAGGGCGTACGTGTGCTCCATTGTCTCCATACAGACGATTGTCAAACTGAAAACGAGGTTTCAATGGGCGATCACAATCTGGTTATCGCTCAAAGGTTGCTGGGAATTTCCAGTCACTAAAAATAGACAGATAGACTGAATACATAAATGCATACAGTTCCACCTATGAAGAGCGGACCATTACATTGTAAAGGCAAAGACTATACAAAATACTGATTTCATTTCATATAACACGTAGACCAATACGTAGTGACGGAAAAAGAGGTGAGTGAATTGAAATGTCCATGTCATTTCCAAAAGAAATACAGTGACATATTTCTATGTTTTCATTCAATATGGTTGTATTTAGATTTATTAGGCTGACTCCCAAAGGCTTTGTTTGTATCTGCTTTATCAAATCATCTTTTTCCTTATAGACTGAAATTGTTAAGACTGGGTCTAGAAATGTCTTTGAGATGATACATGAAGAGTGATTGAGCTTAGGCCAAGAATTAAACCAAGTATACCTTGTTTGTGTGCCCTATGGAAAATAATGATTTTGGTATGTTGCAGTGATTTAAATTTTTCATGAATTATTATTCTTATTTGTGATGTAGATATGAATGCACATGGTAAATATTATAGTATTAAAGATAAACTCCAGTACTAGTAAAAAAAAAAAAAAAAATTCTCACAGAATCAAACGAAACTTACACTGAATGTTCAAGATTACAAATAAATGACATGTGCCAAACAATTTGGGAAGAAAATGTATACTGGCTGAGTAATGAGCATAGAAAGACAAGGAAATCAAGGTAGTACTAGCCCCGACACCATGTGTGTTGTCCCATATATAGCTTTCTATGTGAGTGCTTGTTACTTTACCAAGACTCGGTCAAATTTATTATGATTTTGATGACTCCAGAACCTTGCAGTGCACACCAATATTTACATGCTACATGATCAACTGTTTCTGATCCTTTCCACACCTTTTCTTTCACAATGAAATCGCATTACCAGTACTAAAGTTTATCTTTAATGACTGCTTTGAGAGAAATAGTTGTTTTTATACGCTCAAGGGAAGGTTAGAATTGTGCTATTGCCCGTGGCGTGCCGAGGGCAATAGCCCAATTGTAACCTTCCCGAGAGCGTATAAAAACAACTATTTCTCAAATATTAAAGCAGTCATTAATACGTTTATATGCCAAAAAAAAAAAGAGTCAACTTATGACACCACCTTGGCCTTTCTCTAGTTTATCTGCACGGTTGTTTTTTATGACTAGATCTAGATTCTAGTCTAAGCAAGATATTTTTACAATTTTGGGGGTGGGCCGGCCCTGTGGGGAATATGGAGAAAAACCTGCGCTTTCATATGACACCTCACTTATTGAGTATCACCTACAGGATCACGAGCAATATTAGTTTGAATCTCTGGTAATTAAAACATCGACCAATTTAGCAGGAGTGCGCAATTCCGCGCAATGGCCAATGCATAGGGATGTGTGCAATCTCTACGGTAAGGATTTTAGCACTACTAGACCTACTAGAATCTAGTCCTACTAGACTCTAGATCTATTTTGAAAAAAAATTATGGAGAGTTTCACGTATCCTTTTTGGTGTTCTTGCTGTTAGCAAGTCTTGCATTTAATCATCATCAAGAAGTTGAAATCTTGGGAGAGTTTCTTTAGCCATTTTTGCCTTGTTTGATCGAGACTGAAATTACCGACCAATTCTTCGCACACGTACGGTATCCTCGATCGCTCAAACCAGTTTTTAACATGTGAACCTATGGGTATTTTACCAATACTGAACTATTTTGCCGGTAACCATGGTAACTGGAATTTTACCGGGAATTTTACAGGAATAGTTAAAGTTTATGACTGCAATTTCGACCAATCAGATGGCTGGATTTCTTAAGTGAGGTATATAATTGAGGGTATTATGTGATTTTTTTTTGATTTTTTTTTTTTAATTATTAAAAATAGTATATTCCAGTGTGCATTCATGTAAGTACATGTACACTGTATATAGCACTGCTTTTGGTACTTCAGAGGTTTAATAATTAAGAAGAAATTTTGCCTAAGTTGTTCAAAGCCTAAACTTCATGTTAAGGATAAGGTCTGTCATCTGTATCATATCTGAAGGTAGATAACGGCTCATATTTGTTTTTGTTCAAAGGTCACAAGTTTCTAATACTTGGTTATAGATTAAGAAATAATGTAATGATTATTTTTCCAATGCCAAAATGCTAAAATGTGAATGGTAAACTTCATTTTTGAGACTTTTGTTTAAAATGTTTGTTTTGTTTTACACGGTTTACCGTTAACCATTGGCTTCAAGTGGGTGGAATGTACTATAACTTGTATACGTCAGATTTTCACAAAATTTCTACTAGCATGACTAGTTGCGATAGATGTAGATGTGTTGTGGTCTATTCTAGTGGATAGATTGCGTGATTGTGAATCACATGGTTCGCGGTTCGAGTCCCACCACGGCACTAATGTCCTTTGGCAAAACAGTACTCTACATTGCTCACTCTCCACCCATCCCATGTGTATAGTGAATGGGTAATGAGCGCATTATAATGGTAGGTTGGAAAAGCTGGGGTAGTAATAAGATTGCAGGGCCCTCGGGAAGAACAGTATGTGTACCGATGAGGATCTGGGTAAACAAGGCATCATTATCATTATAATGATTATTGTTATTATTATTGATATTATTATCATCATTATCATTATTATTATTTTCATCATTACTTTTATTATTGTTATTATTATTTTTATCATTATTATTATTATCATCATCGTCTTTCCCTATAAATAATGTTCATTGACTAAAGAGCGACAAACAAAACAGTTTTTTTTAATACTTTTTTTCATTACTACATTCAGTTTTTTGAATAACATTAAATATTTTTTATCAAGATAAAAAAACGAAATTTGATATTTTGTACGCATTATATTCTGTAGTGAAAAGGGGTGACGAAAATGATAAACACTCCTCTTTAATACGTTAAGATGAATCGAAGCTATGCTAATCATTATGTTTATTTTCTTTTCTTTTATCTTGTATTCCTGTAGAATTCGTATCATGGCTGAAGCATTAAAGAATGTCATTGCTCAGAGTCTGGAGTGTCCTGTATGTCTGAATACCTTCACCGATCCCAAGATCCTGTCTTGTTCTCACACCTACTGCAAGGCCTGTCTGGACAACCTCTTGGAATGCCATGGTAACAACCAGATGCTCCAATGCCCTGTCTGCAGAGCTGAAACTAAGGTCCCAAACCAAGATGTCAGCAAGTTACCAGCAAATCTAGCTTTGAAGCCTCTCATAGAGGACGTGAAGAATCAATATCAGTTTTGCACAAATTGTAAATCCGAGGACAAGCCCCGAGCTGTTGTCTACTGTCAAGACTGTGGCAAATATCTCTGTATTCCTTGCCACAATGCACATTCTTTGTGGCAAAACTTCATAAGTCATGAGGTCCTAGCAATGAGTGAGATCGTATCAGGGAAGGTGTCAGTACGAAGATACCGTAAATGTAGGAAACACCCTAAAGAGGATGAGGAGTGCTTCTGTTCCAATTGCAGGAGATTTGCCTGCTTCAGGTGTGTTAACATGGAGCATACAAATGAAGGACATCGGGTCATCGAGGCAGCTGTTTATGAAAGCAACCATGTGAAGAGTATCAAGGACCTAAAATCAAAGGCGGACAAGAAACGCTCTTGCTTTCAGAAATACATTGATTTCATTGATGAACAGAAGGAGCGTGTGAGCAATGTTCAGAAGCAGTGTACAGATGATATCAACAAAGCATATGAAGAATCAGTCCGGCAATTGACTGAGAAGAAAGAACTCCTCATTGTTGAGGTCAAGGATAGGACTGAAGGAGTAGAGAAAGAACTGGACGAAATGAAGAAATCGGCTCAGGAGCACATCACTCACTTGACCACCATAGCTGACATGGTAACCAATCGGACAAACATACCGTCAGATATGGATGCTTTGGCTGCACACGACACTGTATGTCAAGACTTACAAGAGGCTTTCAAACAAGAAGATCCTGACTATAAGCAGCCGAGGCAATTGAGCAAGAAAGGAAAAAGTGTCAATTTTAAGAGAAACGTTGGAATGGATGAGCTAGGTCTTGGTAAGATTGTAAATGCAGTTGCAACAAAGAACATTGCTTTGCCTACTAAGAATAGCATGCATGCCATGGTTAGTACACCAGATGGTAGGATGGCAGTAGGATGTATTACAGGGGGTGTGGAGATCTTCTCTGCTGATGGTCAGCACCAGCAGACAGTTCTCAAGGATGTTAAGATTCATGGACTAGGGTTCCTCTCTGATGGTCGGTATGTTATACTTGATCGTTCAAACAATATCACACTGTACACACTAGAGTACACAAAGTTGAATGTAATGCTTGGGAATCTGAGTCGCTGTGAAGAAAGATTGACTAACCTCACTTTAGACAGTGATGATCAGATCTATATTAACTACTGGATAGCTGAAAAGATCAAGGTGTTCTCACCAGCAGGTGGTAAGGCGATCAGAGAGATACTATGTGATGGTTATGAACCTGAGCAGATTACTAGTTATAATGATTACCTGATCATCACATCTGCCGACACGATACGATTGATTGACAAACAAGGTGTTGTAAAATACAAATTAACAAAATTAGGTGATGATCTATATCCTGCGGTGTCTCAGAGGAATACAATCCTGATAGCCACCGTGAAGCACCATGTAGGTTTGGTCAGCATTGATGAGTACACTAACGAGCTGAAGCATGTCAAGAACCTCGTCATTGATTACAAGATTGAGAAGCCTGAGAGATGGTGGTACTATCTCCAGCAGTACCGATCAGGAGAGATCGCTTTCTGTACTTCTGATAGACTCTACATATTCGACTGAAAATAATGGATGACTCCCTATTTCTTACATTTATCAGTAAGTCAACATGCCACGGTGAGGGCTCTTGTCCTTTCCAGACTAGACTACTGCAACAGTCTCTTCTTAGCCAGAGGGACCTTGATCGCCTTCAGAGACTCCAAAACTCAGCGGCAAGGCTTGTCTTTTCTGCTCCTCTTCGGACTTACTAACAACCTTTTTCGACTTGAACTTCATTGGCTGCCTGTACAACAGAGAATAGCTTTTAAAAACCTACAACTGGTCTTCAAGTCTCTCAACCACCGATGTCCCCAGAACATAGCTGCCTGCCTGGTTTGTAGTCCTCGAGTCAGAAATATCCGCTCATCATCATCCATCTGGCTCACTCAGAGTCTCTCTAAGAAACATGCTGGTGAATTGTCTTTTCCATCGGTTGCTGCAAAAATTTGGAACCAGCTACCTACTGCTGTGCAGAAGGCCTCATCAGTTGACCACTTCAAGAAATTACTAAAGTCACATCTATTCTGCTAGAAATTACTTTATTATCAGCCTACATGTACATGTACTTTAATAACTGATCTCTGAGAAGGGACCAACTTTTGTTTAGAAGTGGCCCAAACATTGTGGAGCGGTGTGTGCAGCCCTTTTTAACCGCAAAGAAAAGGCGCTATATCAAATATCGTTTGATTGATTACACTGTATGACACCACTGTAGGAAGACAAGGGAAGGGGGTGATGTGTGCGACTAGACCTCTTTTATCTGGTCAAAACAGGCACTCTGAACAACTTAGAATAACATAATATTTCGTTGAAAATGAACCCATCCCGCCCCCTTTTTCAAAAGCTTCTAACGGGCCTGTTGTTTCTATGACTTCATAAATTAACAATATAACATCCAGTGGAATCAGTTATATTTTGAACTAGATGAAATGGAGTTCTGGTGAATGTTTTAGAAATAACATTCCTAGATCATGTAGATCAATTTGAATGATTGAACCTTTCTAAAAATTGAAAAAGTAACTTTTCTTGTAATATACTTCTGATGTGTTTATCTTTCAAGATATTATTTGTATATTACTGTTTAATACACTGAATATTTTTTCTTTATTTTATCCAATGCATATCAGATAGCTGTCCAATTAATCAACTAGATTTTTTAAAACCCAGAATCATAAGAGGATTTGCCACTTTTTCGTAATAATTTCTACTTCTTACAACTTCTCTAGTTGTGTACTAAAGAGTTCAAGAGTTTTAAAAGAAAACATATTGATTGTATAATATATGTTGTAAAATTATTGCAAAAGCAAATAAGGATTTATGTTTGACTGTGATATCTTGTTTTTTGTTTTCCATGTTTTCTTTCAGTCTGGCAAAGTACATGGGAGAAGTGGCATGGAACTTGCTGGAAATTAAAATACCCAATTTATTTATTAACTTTTTGGAGATATTTCCTTTTGACTGTGTTTCCATCTAGAGCAAATGTTCTTTATAAGTTTTTGGAAAAGTCTGAAAAGTTGTGATTTTACATTACTCTTTGTTCACCATGTACTAAAGATTTCATTAAACGCCCCCCCCCCCCCCCCCCCCCCCCCCCCCCCCCCCCTAGCCATTTTCTTTGTCAAAATTGTATGTGGCCGAAATATTAAATTGTTAACATGTTCTTATGTGGGCTCCTGTGTGTACAACAAATACACTACCATCAAAATTGTTTGGACATTTTCCATACACATGTACAAAACAAATTAGGTGATCGCATTTAGGTGTGCCGATCTATAAGGGGCTTAAAAACGTTAGAATTGCATTCATTCTTATCTTTTGCATGAAATCTTTCGTCTACAACTGATTGTCAACGAAGCAGAGTTAATCTTTTGTTAATTCCGTTTGTTGCTACGGCAGGCAGCCAGTAAAAACGAATTTGTTTGATAAAATTATGGCAATGCAGGCACTACCAAACAGAACTTTGTTCATCCTAGCTCATTTTTCCTGACTGAGGTGTCATATAAAAGGGCAGAAACTCAACTTTCCAGAAATGTGATTTTCTCTTTGAAATTCAGATACCGTCCGCCAAATGACTTTTTGGTTTCCTCTCTTCAAATTCACTTTAATCACTCATGCGTGAAATATGCATTATATGAGTGGTATCAAATGAAAGAGGATGATCTAAGCTTTCCAAATATGTGTCATTTATTAATTACAACTGTGATTAAGTTATAATAAAACATTGATAATTCTCGGTTTCGTTTTTTCTGGGACGCACTATATATAGTACTGTTTACACAGCTCGGTCATACCCAAGCTATCATGTAATTATTGCAGTACGTTTCAAACTTCCTTACTCTAAGTTTATTTTCTCTTTTGTCGTCTATTAATCTCTGCTGTTCTGATATTTATAGTGTATCATTCTATAGGACGTACCCAAAACAAGGCTACCCGAAACAGAATATGCTCCATAAATCATTATCATCAATGCTCACTTTTAATGCAGCTGTACATGACCATAATACAAGAAGCAGAACAAAATATCATCTATGGACTGTCAATAAAAATTACGCACTATTCTCTTTTAGACATCATGCTCCTGTTATCTGGAATAATCTGCCACTAGAAATAAAGTCACCTAACTCCATGAATATCTTTAAAAGAAAACTCAAATCTTACTTAATCACAAATTTGTGAAATTTTGAATTGATGATTTTACTGCCTTGTGTTGTCCTGTGATGGGTTTGTGCGGTAATATGTCATATATTCTTATCGGTTTATTCCTTTACAGTACTTTGTTATCTTTTAAATTTTCTATATTATATTGAATGTTCAATGAAACTTATTTTACCTTCATTAAGGGTGGTCGTCTCGACAAATCCTCATGGTTTTGTATGGCCACCCAATTCCAATAATGCTCTATCTTGTATTCTTATCGGTTTATTCCTTTACAGTACTTTGTTATCTTTTAAATTTTCTATGTTATATTGAATGTTCAATGAAACTTATTTTACCTTCATTAAGGGTGGTCGTCTCGACAAATCCTCATGGTTTTGTATGGCCACCCAATTCCAATAATGCTCTATCTTGTATTCTTATCGGTTTATTCCTTTACAGTACTTTGTTATCTTTTAAATTTTCTATGTTATATTGAATGTTCAATGAAACTTATTTTACCTTCATTAAGGGTGGTCGTCTCGACAAATCCTCATTGTTTTGTATGGCCACCCAATTCCAATAATGCTCTATCTTGTATTCTTATCTGATGTATCGCTTAATTGTTTTATCATTTTACCTTAGTTAGTACTTTGGATCGATTTATACTCTTATTCTGTCATGATTGTATTCTGTTTTGTATATTTTATTGGAATTGAATAAACTGAATTGAATTGAATTGAATTGAATTGAATTGGGTTGGGTTGTTTTTTGATATTTTATATAAGAACAAATAAACAGAATACTAGACTGTTTGAATATTAATCAACTGCCAGAATCAGGTGGCGGTTGCCCATGCCCGAATAGGTAATGAGGGGGGGGGGGGCTGCAGCCCCCTCAGTCCCCTGTCATTTAGCCCTATGAAATTAAGGCAACATTGTCCACTAACAACCCGAACCTGTAATAAATCGAACAACGTTTAAGCTCTCTCAACCAGATGATGGTTAGTGCAATAAATGAAAATGTCTAATATTTAATATCTTCTTTACTTTTCTCCTTTCCGGATATGATTAGCATGTTTAGCGCCATTTCCAACATTCCAATTGTAATCTTGAAGGAGGACCGTTCCACAAGACTTTAGCAACAGTAATTTGACTCTAAATTTAGAATGTTTTGTAATGGGGGGGGGGGGGACAGAAATAGAATTCAAGTTTGACACAGGAATATATTTGCTCGACAGACACTCGACAAAACAAGATCTAGGTTTCATTGGGCGATCTTAATCTGGTTGTTGGTCAAAGGTTGCTGGGAATTTCCAGTCACTAGAAATAGACAGAGAGACTGAATACATACATGTATATAGTGCCACTTATGAAGAGTGTACCATTACCGGGTACATTGTAAAGGCAAAGAGTATACATGTTTACTGATTTCATATAGCACCTAGATCGATAAGTAGTGACGGAAAAAGAGGTGAGTGAAATGAAATGTCCATGTCATTTCCAAAAGAAATACAGTGACATATTTCTATATTTTCATTCAATATGGTTGTATTTAGATCTATTAGGCTGACTCCCAAAAGTTTTGTTTGTATCTGCTTTATAAAATCATCGTTTTCCTTATAGACTGAAATAGTTAAGACTGGGTCTAGAAATGTCTTTGAAATGATACATGAAGAGTGATTGAGCTTAGGCCAAGAATTAAACCAAGTATAACTTGTTTGTGTGCCCTGTGGAAAATAATGCTTTTGGTATGTTGCAGTGATTTAAATTTCAAATTTGTCATAAATTACAATTCTTATTTGTGATGTAGATATGAATGCAAAGGGTACATATTTCAGGTTAGTATGTGACTCTTAAAGGGATAGTTGAGTTCTGTTTTCAGACCGCAATTGCCTTCAAAGTGCATGGTTATTGCTCTTATTCTTATCTATGACATTTCTAGTGCCTTTTGAGGACCTAAAATTGCTATGAAGGTAATTTTAGACCCCAAAATGTGTGCAATTTAGCAAATAGGATCATACCAATTCAGCTCCATTTTCAAAACAATACGGTGACCGTTAATTAATTAATTAATAATAACAATACATGGGCCGGCTGGTTGGGCTTAATATAACCAACACAAAAAAGCCAACAAAAAATTCAACATCGGCATTGGCTGAAATACAAAGTAAAAGGCGCTGTTTTGATTTTTCAACGGCTTTTTCAAATTATTGTGATACACAAATATTAGAAATAGTTATATTTATGGATATTTCAGCCGTCTCTGAACCGATTTTTAATCAAATTGTCAGTTAAATTGTATGTTCTTTCAAATTTGACACTCAGTTTTTCATTATCTCACAACAACAAAATCTGCAACAGAACTCAACTATTCCTTTAACATAGCTCAGGGCGCGACAAACCCGCTTGCCCGACGTCCCGGGGCAACCAAATTGAGCCGTCGGGCAAGTAAATCAAATTATCACTTGCCCGATTCGGGCAAGTGATACTTTTACAGTAATTTCCTAGTGTCCAAGAACTCTACCATTCACCCGTCAACTTCTTACCCGTCGTCAAAATCCAGAAGCAAACTAGATGGAATTTTGACTGCGCGCAGTCGAAAATGATGCCTCCGCCATAGAGCAATTTAAACAAGTTTGGAGTTTAAATCTCCAGTGGTTCTTGAGATATCATGATAACAATCTCAATGTATGGAATTTCATAAGTTGACCTCTGTGACCCTTGACCTTTGACCTATGTGCTCCAAAATCTAATCAGATTGTCTTCCTATGGTGATACACACTATCATTAAGTTTGAAGTTTAAATCTCCAGTGGTTCTTGAGATATCATGATAACAATCTCAATGTATGGAATTTCATAAGTTGACCTCTATGGCCCTTGACCTTTGACCTACGTGCTCCAAAATGTAATCAGATTGTT